CATTACAGTCAGCAAAGCTGTAAACAGGAAGTTAGCCGCTTGGCCAGTACTCTTACTCCATGATGCAGAAGATTTTGATCATTTTATACTCGGGAAGTCCAAGTGTTTTGGCTTCATGTGCAACTGAGCAACTATCATAGAAATGAATGGGGCTCTAACTCCATCACTGTATCCAGTTCTCCTTATACATCCATGGGTTAAAAACTGTGCTGTCAGCACTGCTGCTTTCTTTAACACTGTTTGTGCTGTTAGCATTAGCTGCTCAGCCACCTCCATGTTGAGAGCCATGTGCAGACAACCTCTGAATCAATGATATGTTCTGAAAATCATATTAAGTTCCTTTAATTACTAAAGACAGAGAGCAGTGACCAACCAAGTCCTGTTTCTCACTGTGCATTCCCCCCCGCCTCTTTTGGCCTGCCATTTGGATGATACCATTAGGAATTAGCATACAGTACCTATGGCAACCGGCAACCTTTGTCAGAGTCTTTCATAATATTTGTACAGCCGTCTGCCACTCGCTTTATTTAGCTCGGGCTTGATGGCGCTATGTGATAACTTCTTGCTCTTTCTGTCTGGAACAGGTAAAGGCAGCAGCTAAGAGCACCCAGAAACAATCTTAAAAGATGACATATAGGAAGGACTATTAGAAGGAGATTATCACAGTTGGAGTGTTTAAAGTAATGAGCACTAGTCCTGTGGGTGTCGTACTGTACAGCACATGGCTGCTTTTAGTAACTAACAAGACAGTACACACTTTCATACTTAGGAATCAGTGTCTGTGAGCTTACACTGATGTGTCTTTGCTTTTACAGTGTAACAGCTTCGGCTATCAGTGTCGTCAGGCTTTAACTGGAATGCAATAGTTAATTTGTTTCTGTATTTTCTGGTGACTTACTGCTTCATTAGTTTGGACAGAGCACTCAGCTCTAATGAAAATGAATCAATGCTGTTGAATGTTAGAGTGAAGATACAGAATAGCAGATGAAACACATGGGCTTGAAATAAAATCAAGACAGATAGTGGATTATTTTATATTTGTGTTGAGACATACTTCCCATTACAATCTCCACCATTTCCTCCACAACATTGGTATGCAAGATATTGAGAACTTAAAAATAGATTTATGTACGTCTGTAAGCGCCTTTGACCCTGTCCTGTTTCTCCTCTTACGAGGCTGACACCCAGTACCCACGATGCCACGGTGCCTTCCCCCGGTGAACTCCTCTGCTCTGCATGTCTCCTTCTTGTTTATATTAAACATGGTGTGGCTCAGATTAAAGGGTGACAATTTTGCCTGGAGGCTGTTGCTATGGAAATGCGTCTGCTATAGCTATGATAGGCCATTCATGTTTGATTAATTGGTTTTTCAATGCTTCTTGGTTTGTGAGGACCCTTAAAGAGCAAGTCCATGGAAAATGGAAAATTAATGGATTTCTATTTCCTTCTCTTTCCTCTTTCTTCCTCTTTTCTTCCTCCCTCCTGTCTTACTCCTTATTTTGCCGAAGCTATTTCCTCATATTTTAAGAAGTGTAGTGACGATGTTTTGAATTATGATTGGAAGTTGGAGATTGACGTGGATGGGGGGAGGTTAGAGCTTGGTTATTTGAAATGCAAAAGGAATGTCTTTGTTCATGACTGCCTTTTGTGTGCAGCTGCTGAGGCAAACACAGAATCTAATGTCGTGTGAATATTATGAGTTTTCAAAGCAGGCCAGGGCCTCGTACAACATTACTTTGTTGTGCATTTTTATTCTAGCAATCTACTGGGACCAATTATGATTAGAGAGCCAAGCCTTCATCTTTGAACCTCCACTCGTGTTTATCAAGACCTCATATGCTCGGGCCTTTTCAATTTGATCTTTTTAGCACTTCACTAATGTGTAATGTATTATTTAACTCATAAATGTTTAAAAGTGCTAACAAATGCTAGTTCATCACTTTCTGATCTGTAAATTGCCAAACATTCCCATTTATGCCTACATTAAAAGCTTCCTTTGGTCCGTGCTCATGTTCTGTCCTGATGAATCTCGAAGAAAAGCTTTTGATGTAGTTATTATTGAAGATCTTTTAAGACGGCTAAGAGCAGAACTTTGCGAGAGTGTGATTCTGTAATCACTCTGAAGGGTGTTCTCCGTGCAGGGGTCACTCTCCAGCTGTGAGCAATGTTTTTGTTTCTATTTGCGGGCCCAAGTGTTGAGAGAGGTGTTGTTTAACATGGCAGTAAGTGATATTTTCCTCTTTCATAGCACACAGTGAGCATAATATATCTGCGGGGGGTTGATAGGGTTGCTGATCAATGGCATTGACGCAACGATTGCTTGGCAAGGTACTGAGATTTCTGGCTTCCTAAAACTTCACTTCTTAGAAGCAGAAAGGTCTTCCACAGCACACCAACCAGGCCACTGTGTCTCAAGGACCCTGGAGGGTCTGCACTTGTTGCACTTCCTAGTGATTGTCTATAGACGTCAATAGAAATAATGGATTGTACCTTCAACTGTAATGGAGAGCCCCGTTGGAAAAATGTATCATTTTGAGTTGAATGATAATGGCCCTTTGTGTTACATGGTTGAATGCTGCAGCACTGCATTTGGCTTAAGATACAGTTTTCCAAATGCCTAGAGGGTGTAGAAAACTATGACTTGAATGATGGATAAATGTTTTTCTTGGCTGCTTTTAGAGCAGAAGACATTAAGACATATAATCACCTTTTATGGCGAGCTGGTTAGCTGTTGCTTGTTTTCTGCATTTAGCAGATATAGCAATATGAGCATTGATTTGGAGTTTTATCTCTGGCCATCTGATGGATTTAACTGTTTCATTTTTGCTCTGTTTTGGTCTCCACCAACTCCTGAGAAAAATATATGGCTCTTTAGCTGCTAAATGCTCCATTGTGTTCACCAGCTAGTCGCTAACTGCCTCTGTCTGCCATGCAGTGCTAAGCAGGTAGTGCACAGCAACGTAACCTCATATAACGGTTCATATATCTCACAAATTAGCGTCTCTACCAGTAAGGCTAGGTTTAGGAAAAGAATTGGGCGTTGTGATGTGACAGTGTTACACTACGTACAGACATAACTTAAAATAACTCAAACGTTGACTTATGGTTTCAAACAGGGCACAAATCCAACTCTCATGGGTCAAAGTGCATCTTTGTTTGACCCATTCATCCAAACCAGCCACCTCTCCACACAAACATTGTCAATCATTATACTACATCTGCTGACTTCCTCCTGTGTCAGAGTGTCAGACAGAGTGTCAGACTGAAGCTCCCAGAACCTTCAGTCTGACATGGTTTCCATTGAAGGCGATTTACAAGGGGGAGGGAATTTGATTTTTTCCCTAACCAATCAGTAGAGATCAACAGCTCACCCAGAATCTGACGTCATTAGTATCCATGCCTCGGGGGTGCCGAAAACAAGCAAGCATTGCCCGTTTAAAATGTCTCCGTTGTCGTGCACGCCCAGCTGCATCGCCGTTAAATCCAGTTTAGCAGCTTCCTTAATTTGGTCCTCCATTAACGCGAGTAGCGGCAAAATACCTCGATAGCATCGTTAATGTGGTCTGTAGGATATGTAGCGGTCGCCATTGTTGCTATCCTCACCAGTTAGGTGATTAGCCAATCAGCGTGGCGCTGATTGGCTAATAGCTAGACCCCCGGCGTTCATTGGTCCGTCCATCGTTTGGACGAGATAAATCGCAAATTCATTGAAGTATGCCAGACCAGTAATGCAAGCCTACTCAGTTGAGTGGGCGGGGTCTATGGTCTGGAACCAGGCTAACTTCCTCCTTTTCTCCTGTCATATAAGGGAGGACAGAATGCAGCACATAGGTCATGTGATCACAGCCTTCTGGCTCACAATTACATGGGTTATATCTGAATCATACTGCATTACTTTTCATGGATGTAAGTACTAACAATGAATGAGAACAGCCTGCATACACTGAGCCTTCACAGCATTTTTGCTGCAAACAGCTGCCTACTGTGAACTGTGACTCTCACACTATGAAAGCATTGAGAATGAGCCAAAACAATAAAGTTGTGGGCCGGAAAACAAAAATAATGAGTCTTTAAAAAAGCTAAAACGCTCCATATAGCGGAAGGGGAGTCTCTGTGGCTTCATTACTACAAACATGTAATCTACATAATGTAAAAAAGACTGCTTATAGCTGCTTTAAAGTCATGTCACTTCTTTTAGTTTGTGTTCTGACAGTGAATTCACAATAGTTTGAATTAAAAATGCTTGTAAGGGTATTTGCTTGACTGACAGCTGTTTAAGTTTATCACAGTGAGTCTTATTGAATGCTGACTCCATCCAGCTCCAACTCATTGAAAATTTTGATTTTATGGCTCTGGTTACTGATAAATATGGCAGCAGGCAATAAACCCAAAGGCTAACAGGCTTCAAAATGAGCCTTCAGAAAACTATGGGGACCAGGTTACAGATGCTGTACTCATGTTTTTCTTGTCTGGTTAGTTAAGAGTGAATTGTATTAGCCTTTAGGGAGCAAAGTAGATGTCTTTATTAGTGTCTGTGTGTCTTGGTTGATTGGGGTTGAGAGATTTTATACAGATGTTTTTAGTTTTTTAGAGAGCTGAGTAGTCACCTTGCACCCAGTATTCAAGATTTGCCACCATATTAAGGTCAGTGCTGATGTCAAGTACCAATAATAGTAAGTAAAGATAAGCTGGCCACAAACCTGCGAGTTTGAAAACAGTGGTGTGTCTTGAGAAAAGACACTTGAAAAAGAAAAGAGAAGCTTTCTAACCACCAGCCTCAGTTTAACAAGACCTGTAAGAGGGTTTTTTGTCTGTCTAATGACACACTTCCCTCATTACAACACATCCAAAAATAATGTCTTTTTATAATTTTGTCCAACACACATGCATATTTTCTCAAATTTGAAAATGTCAAAGTCTTTGCATATTTGGCTAATTGGCAAACTTTTATCACTTTGAGTAGAGAAGATAGTAAAGCTGGTGTTCTTCTCTCACCCCAGATGCAGGAGATGGCTTTGCACCACCACCAACAGCAACACCATCACCAGCACCCAGACGGCGCTCATTATAACCACCCCCTGATAAACAGCTCACCTCCGATTCTGCCCAACCCCATGAGTGCACTGACCCAGCTAAACCCTCAGGTCAGCCGGAGTGCACTGCCTCATGGCTCCCCCTCACCTCCCGGAAGTAAATCGGCCACACCCTCCCCCTCCAGCTCCAATCAGGAAGAGGAGACTGATCCTCATTCGAAGGTACTGATGTAGCAACGCTTGTCTGGCTTGTAGTGAGTGGAGTAGGAGACGAGGGCTTGGCAGCGCTTCTCAGAGATGGTTTGCATGCTAACTGCAGTGTGGAGTCTGAACAGGGGGTAGCCATGCTTGTGCTTTTTATTGGGTTGGCTGGAAAACTCGCATGGTTGCAAAATGTTGCTGTTGAGGGGAACTGAAGCCATGATTATTTTTTTTTTTTTTAATTTGTGTATGTTATGGTGTGGTGTCACATTTGAAAAGACAATTGACTTGAAATATCTGCCTCATGATTATATTTAGTTGCAGATACCGGCTTGATTTTGTTTCAGTTATTAAATTTTGCCTTATTTTTTCAGTCTGAGCAGCTCATTTCCAAAAATCTGGTTCACACTTAAAAGCAACACAATCTTCTTTCGGCCCTTTTGTGCAGGATAATTTCACCCTCTGACAAATTTCTTTTCAATGACACAGTCACAAATAGCTGACAATCCATTAACACCATGGCATGTTTGTAAGACTGTTGGCAAACTCTCACACGACATCAGACATGACATATAATCTTTTTCCCTGAAGTAGATGATATGTATTGATTATACTCGATGTATCGCTGCTTGTTCCATGTGGGATGTATAAAATGACTATATCGCGGACACTGTGTTTAAGTTGTCACATCATTTTATTAAGCCACCAGCATGAGACTCCCCTTGGTGTTTCAGTTCTCTGAAACATAGAAACATGTAACATGAAACATTACATGCACTCCCCCACCCATCCAGACCACCCTCTCCTGGGCAATAGTGTGTGTTTTTGTATCTGCATGGCCCCAGACTGCGACTATTTAGTTGTTTTATGTGACTAAATGGAACATCACCTGCAAATATTACGGACTTTCAGATATTATATGACCTGGAGAGATGTTAGTTTAATGGCGGCGCTGTATCAGTTTAAGTTTCTGCTAACTGCTAACATCTAAGCCTCAAGTTCACGATGGGAACATAAACACATCTAGCCTGAGACAAGCCGGTTGTATCAAAATAAAAGCACCAGTGCCTCCGCTTTGGTTATTTCATTATAACAGTACTTTAATTAACTTTATTGTAATAGTACCTAGTGCTGCCCCCGACCAAGAATTTTCCAAGTTGACCAATACTCGTCATTTAGGGCCATTAGTCGACTAGTTGCCCGCATGTTTACGATATTAATTTAATTATTAAATGATATATTTTGGGTGGGGCAACACAATGGTTTGAGTTGAAGGTGTGAGAAAGAATAGTATCAGTAACATTGTTAACACTGTGCTACATTACAGAGAAATACCAAACCGTACTAATGAACCTTCATTAATATAGGCCTATATTTTATCTACAAGTGCACGTCACACACTGAGCGAACCGCCTGTTAATGACACTGTCGGCAAAGCAGTAATGATTGTGCTAAGTGGCTAATGGGCATGTAGCTACTTCCATGTTTCAGATGATACGTCATGTTTGTAGTCGACCAATGAAGATGAGTTTACATATCACCTTGGGTTCGTCCTTCACCTTCTCAAAATGATCCCACACTTTGGATTTCCTGCCCGACATGTTATTAACTAGCCTGTGGAATAACCGCAGGTACCAGCCCTGGAAAATTTATGTGACTCCTGTCTGACTGCTGAGTGTGGCCACTTCCTGTGTCTGTCACATTATTTTTAAGCGACCAATGAAATCTTGCTGACTAATGACCTTTCTGGGTGATTAGCGGTTGGTTGACTGTTAGGGGGCAGCCCTTGTAGTACCTTATTTAACTTTAGTTTAGTATTTTAGGAATGTTCAGTAGTTAAGAGGAGATTTCACAGTATTGTGATATATATTGTGTATTGCGATATAACCAAAAAATATTGAAATTTTATTCATAGGCCATATTGAATTAGAAATATTTAAAGTTGTTTTCTAAATTGAAGGGACCTCCTTTATTTGCAGATGTGATGGCTATTTAGTTTGATCATTGACAAGACACAAGGTGTCAGCAGTCGTCTTATTTGGCCAATGGAGTTATGTCTGGTTTGAAAGCTACCACTCCTATACTTAAATCACTCATTCATTTAAACGAGGAAGAGAAGGACACTTGTTTACATTCGTTTGGTTTATGTAAATCTGTAAAACTGCTTGTCATAAATTGCCCACCAACCGATGTCTCTGCGGATTTGCTTCGTTTCTATCAGGGGCATGTGAATGAGTGCATAATTGAATCTGCCATATCCACAGTGTTTCAGATTCATCGGTGTATTTAAATGCTAGCTCACAGTGATACAGTATAACAAGAAGGGGATCCTTTAGTTAAGAAAATATATTTCCCTGCATATACATCTCTGCTGTGCTTCTCACCGTGTGTGTGTGTGAATAAAAATGATTACCATCTCTCCTATCAGTAAGTAATTCCATTTGCTCTCTCCAATTCACTCTGAGACCACATCAAAGCCAGAGCAGATACAGCAGGCGATTTAAAATTCCTTTCACCCCTGGCATGAAAAGTCAGAATTTATGACTTGCTGAACAACTGAAAAATAAAGATTTGAAAAGGTTTGATAAATTCAACTAACAGATGTTATTTTTGACAAAGTAAGGCAGAAATAAAATGCTGTCAACCAGTGGCGGTGCCAAAGTGTTACTGTCAGTGAAACATTGCCGCAATATTCAAACGCTGACTAAACGGGTATTGAACAGAGAGCTTGAATAATGGATTTAATGAAGTTTACAGGCTTCACCTGGACCCAATGTTGTAAGCATTCATCAGGGATGCAATTATTCACTCCAGCTGAATCGGTAGGTCGTGTTCCTGCGGTGTCAATAAGTCGTTTTGTTTTTTGTGTGTTTTTGATGGTCTTCCAGATCACGGGCGAGAAGCGGCCGTCTTCGGAGATGATGAAACCCAAGCCCAAGCCCCAAAAAAAGAAGAAGAAGAAGGATCCCAATGAGCCTACGAAGCCTGTGTCAGCCTACGCCTTGTTCTTCAGAGACACCCAGGCAGCCATTAAAGGGCAGAATCCCAACGCCACCTTTGGAGACGTATCCAAGATAGTGGCCTCCATGTGGGACGGACTGGGAGAGGAGCAGAAACAGGTAGATTAATACTCTCTGTGTGTGATTTAAACCTGCTATAATGCACATTTTGGCCATGTAGGGACAGCGGAAACAAGCTATGAACACAACACTGACATCATCATCTTTAAAGCATATGATGCAACATTCATTTGGAGTCATGGTTCTTGCCACCTGGTGAATGAAAGGCCGATATTCACTCTCCTTATAGCTCTGTTTTGGTCTCTACCAACTTCTGAGGTAAATAGCAAAGGTTACGATATTGTAACCCTAGTTCTATCAGCACAGATGGAACTGTCTCCTGGACTCTACGGGTAATACTCTCCTCCCATCACCAGCACCCTTTTCCCCGCTGAAATTTGCATGACATAGCCGGCCAATGAAGACGCGTCTACCTGATTACAAGTTGATGCCACAGTATATAAGGCAGCACATGACGCTGTTTGTCAGTCTACACCCTCTTCAGTGTAGAGTATAGGAGCAACAGAGTCCTTAAGTAAAGGGCTCCTCCTGTGTTGATAGAACTAGGGTTACCAAACTAGGGTTACAATATTGTAACCCTAGTTCTATTTCACATAGGCTCTGCCCTGGACTGTGCTCTGTGGATACAGTGGGTGAAACTCAACAGGTGAACACCTTTTCATGACATAACATCGACCCAGTCACACTGATTCTGACCGGCTAAAGCCTAGTCGCCCTAGCCCGCCTTATTTATATAGCCTAGGCCGCCACAGTGGAGAAGTTGGGGGCTCCAGCCAACCCAGGTAGTATGCAACTGAATCGGGTAGGGCTATGGCCTGAACTGATCAGTGGGCAAATCAGGGATTGGAGTATTACCCACAGAGTCCAATAGAGGGCAGAGCCTGTGTAAGATAGAATTGCTCTTTAGTTGCAAACTTTAGTTACAAACCAAAAGTGAACCAAAACAGTGAAGTCGTGGGCTGGAACACCAAAACATTGAGCTGTAAGGCAAAGTTGGTGATGTTTCTCTGTGGCGGCATCACTCCAAGCAACCCCTTTTTACACTGAAGGGTCATGTGATCCATTTTTTATGTAAAGAAATACTGATCATAGCTGTGTTAACATGTTGATTACAGTAGTTTTTCAGCCCTTCAATCAAAGACACATCACAGCACCATGTCACGGCCAAAGTCAGATATTAGTCACTCGCATTAAAAAGTGTGATACCGCTTCAGTAGCCCAGTTTAAATTTTTAGGTCATGGTCATGCAAATTGACAGGTCAGGTTCACCACACATTGGCTACTGTAAACTCTGCACAGCGTTCACAGCTTGGTGAGTCTCTCTGTTGTTTCGTGCTGCGGTCAAACTGAGATTGTATCTCCAGTATGTATCTGAGTCATGCAGCAAAGATTTAACAAGATAGCTTGCAGCTCTGGTTTTGCATTTAACAACATCGTGCTCTTTTGACTAGTTAATGAAGCTACTCAGCATTAGACAGTGTTGACGGAAAGTACAGTCATGTTAAGCTAAGGGGGGAAAAAAAGTTTGCTGTATGCTAAAACTGTACAGTAGCATGTATTTAAGAAGTGCAATGATGGTGCAGCACTGGAATATTAAGATTATTGTTCTGAAACTCTCCATAATGACAACTTGCATGACAGTGGCTACGTTTACATGCAACAAATATTCCGCTATTATTCTGAAAACAACAATATTCTGAGTCTGATACGAGCCATGTGAACGTTTCATATTCCGAATTAAGCATTTTCCGATCAAGACACGTGGGGTATGCCGGCACTATTCTGGTTTTAGGAGCATTCTTTTGACACGTATACAGCGCGTTCAGAATATGCATCTCAACAGGGGTGTTCACCACAGTTTGAGATACACGGCCTCTTGTCTGTTTACAGTCAGCTCTGTGGGTTGTCATGGATATGCTGTACACAAACCAACTCGTCAAGAGATTGCAAGCCTGAGATGCAGATGCACGCCCAAAGAAAAGTCCACATTCCTGGTCAGAAGAAGAAACACACCCCCTTTAAAACAAGAAGGTGGTTGAAGGAATGAAGAAGAAGGGGTCGAACAAGTCCGCCACCAAGTTTCCGTTTCAGCTGCTCTTTTCCATATTTTCACGTGATAAATGACATGTTCGTGGCGGGCACATTAATCAGAGCATACATTGCTTCATGTGAGCGGAAATATTAGTGGAATATACATTTTTATTAGCCATGTAAACACCTCAGTAGGAGTATTGTCTTTTTTGGAATAAGGGCAAAACTTAGAATATTTTGTGCATGTGAACGCAGCCAGTGAAGCACATGAAATACTCCTTTTATGAAGTGAGAGTTCAATGTAATTTATTTATGAATTAGACACGCACCAACCATGTAAAATCAACTGCGGGAAATGTGTTATTATTATGCATTGAAAATCATATACTGAAATAAGTGAAAAGCTTGCCACAGTCCGCAGTGTAGATACACTATTTCTCTGCATGTTTCCACGAGTCAATTTAATTTTATTACAGCCTGACCTGTGCATAAGGAACTGCATTAACATTTACTGCAGTTTAGAGCGTTTCCAGCCGGCACATTTTCTATTTCATTTCAGCATTCCACACCAACAGACAAAGTCAAAAGGGGTTCCTGTGTGTTTGTGGTAACAAATGATGGTGTGAAATGAATGGAAAACGAGACAGTCTGATGATCATGCGCAGACTCATATTTTTAGAATATCCAGTCAGGGCGCAGCCTATTGGGTGTCAAATAAAAGCACCTGTCTCCATGACAAAGTGCAGCCCATTCTCCTCAGCCCCAGCCACCATCGACTAGACCCTATCTAGCATGTGTGTGTGTGTTTTTCTCCCACCAAACCTACTTTATACGCTGGACTTTGGAGGCCGTCTGTCCCTTTTATTTGCAGTTAATTTTTGCCGCCTTCACCGGGGCTCTTCACCATGAATCTTCATTTCGCCGCTGACACCCTTGAATGTGAATTCCTCATTTCCTGTCCTTTTATTTATATCTGTTGCCTGGTGATTTGATCATGCTGGGAATACAAGATTAGCAATTGCCTTGTCCTTGGTTTTGCCTCAAGGACATCTGCTCCTGAAATGTTATTGTTTGTGCTGCTTAACCCTTTGTGTCCTGGCGTCTTTTTCACCTCAGAAAAAAAAGAAAGAGAGACAGAAAGAGAGAGAGAGAGAGAGTCCCATCTACAGTGCAAAATCTCTCTCTGTCTCTCTCTAAATGCATTTGTCCTTCACAGCATTACCTGAGAACAGAGAGGAAACTAACAAAAGGGCAATTCCACCATTAAAAATCCACCCATTTATCGTGCCATTCCGCGGCTAATTTTTTGATTTGTTTGTGCATTCATGTGTTTAATCAAACGTGTCACCTTGCAAGACACATAATTAACTTGAGGTAATGATGTCATTATGGAATGAAATGTAGTACCCTGTCTGGGCAATAACACCGTGATTGCTCTAATTATTCTCTGTGACTAGCACTGTCACTTCTACCTGCACAACAAATGGATAAACTCGATAACCGCGTATTTACACAGTGTAACCAATTCAGCTGCTGCGTGTTCATATTCATTAAAGTCTAAATGTATTAAAATTTCTGTCTTTGGTTTCAACAAGCAACTGCTGGATGTTCCCAGTGAAATGCATTCATCCATGCCAGGGTCTCATACCTTAAACATTCTCAATATGCAGTTTCTATCTCTCCCCCTGCTGTTGGCTCGCTGATGTATATGCTGTTACACCGTTTCTTTTCTCCCAACATGGGCTGTCACGTCATCTCCATAGGACCGATGAGGTGTGCTCTATAATGTCACAGTCAGACCCTCTGGAGCCATGCAGGAGCACCAGAATGTAAACACAGCCCCTTCCCCTACACACAGCTTTGTTTTAACTAGAACGTGGCCCCTGTTTCCAATTACCTATAGTACTCCTCAAACACGCCATGCAGCAGAATCCACATGAACGCATTGAAGGCTGCGTGTTTTATCGCCGTGTTTTACTGAAGGAACGATCACAAGTGTCATTGCTGTGATTTGTGTTCTTTCTGTGATTCTTTTTTGAGCGTCAGCGTGCGTTTTCCCCACTTTGCTCGCATTGTTGTGTATTCTCCAGTGTCGCCCTTGAGTTTGGTAGAACAAAGTGGGTTTTTTTTTCTTCTCCTCTCTTCCTGTTTATGTTCATATTTTCTTTTTTATTAAGATGTTTTCAAATGCCTGCACGCTATACGGCGTTGTTTTTTTTTTTCTTTCGAATTCCCGAAGGCCTTTGTTTTATAGTGCGAGATCAATGCGTTATTTGGGCTGCGTTATTCCTCAAGGTGACTACATGTTAAAGCTGGCCCAGAAACACAAAGGAACATTTTTTCTTGTTTTTGTTATTTAAGATTAGGATCAATTTTCTGTTGTTTTTTGTTGCAGCAGTGGGGAGGAACAGTGATAATGGAGTTGGGTAGGAGGGAGGAGAGACCTTAGCTTTTTTTAATTGAGTCTGCTGTGTTGGAGTTGTGTATCGGTGAAAGGTCAGAAATAGAAGGAGAAGAACACTGTCACTTAGTTTAAACTGCAGGCTTTGATATTAAATCCCTTGTACGGGCTGTGTTTTAGCATCCATGCAGTATTTCTTAGTCTGTTTCCTGCCTCTTTGTCTAACTTTCACTTGTTTCCTTTTTAATGTGCACCTCAACGTCCTCTCCTCCTCTCTCCTCCACTACCTTCCTTTTAATCCCCCTCATCTCTCCACCTTCTCTACTTCCCGTTTGCTTCCACCTCCACCTCCTCCTCCTCCTCCTCCTACTCTCACCGGTCGCTCGGTTTTTCAGTCGTCGGGGTAATCACTCCCTTCAGTGTCAGCAGGGTGCGGAGTTATTGTCTCCTGTAATTAACTGGTTATCAAACAAGAACATTTCATTAAGGTACAATTAGGGGCTAATTCAGGCGGGACACCTCTGTGTCAGGATTACGATGGAGGCATATGCTCTCCCCTTGCAGCTTTGTTATTTTTAATTCATACTGACCTGCAGCCTCTGACGGCTTCAATTGCTAATGAATCCACTCACTTTGGAATAATTAGACATCCTTAGGCATGGTAATTTATTTAAAAGTATCCGTCGTTGCGCGAATCATTAGCTGTGTTAAATTGATTTGAAATTAAAGCTGCTGGGAGAAGTTTGGGGTTCATTAAAGAGGCAGCCACAGATCTATCAATATTTAAGGGGTGAGGGGTAAGGTTGTCGCTTATTTTTTTAAACTGTAATTCATTTCTTAATGGGGATTTGCTGTTTTTATTGTGAATATTTGAGGTGTGTTCCTGTATTTTTTTAAAGTTCCCGATTCAGTGCAGCCCTGTGCCATAATACCTGAATGTATATCATGGAGGGGGAATAATAATAATATTGTAAATAGGGATGAGTGAGAGGATAAACATCAGCTGTTTGAGCAAGAGATTGTATCCGTCTTCATCCCGGGTTTGTTTGCTGTTCTGTGTGTATGTCTGTTTGTTTATTGACTGTATGTGATAGCAGCTGCCAGCCTTTGTGCATTTGGCAACACATGAATGCATAATGGTTATTCTACCCCACCTCTTTGAAAGAAATGACCCCGTCCATGGAGCCACAGACAGTCTCTCACTGAGGATCAGTAATTATCCACCGCATTCACACACAAACACACACACACAGAAACACACGTCCTCCTTCATATTAAAATGCTCCAGAGAGGAGCTGAGATCTGAGTCTTCCTCATCGATTTAAGGGTGGACTTTTCGCGACTTGTTTTCCCTGCATCAAAAAGGCAGTGGCAGCTATAAAGAGCCCGTGAGTGACATGTGATGACATTAACTTGAATTCCCTGTCTTAACGCATCATTTGAGGTTCATTCAGAAGGCTTGAGATTGCCTCTTTGCTAATGCTGTTTTGAATTCTTTTATTTTTTTTCTGCCCCCTCCTCCTCCTCGTCTGAATGATTTGCTGGGACATCAGCTCTGATTAAGAGATGAGCAACAGCAGCCTTAATAGAGGAAGAGGCTGAAAAGCAACACACAAAATGACAAACAGCTCCTCGCTCCTCATTTAGCTCCATTATACTTCAAACTCCATTTTCACGTTAGTGCACACACACCAGCTTTCTCGGCATTTCATTCTGGACATTTTCAAGGAAATAAATGATTCAAATGCAACAGCATCATGCAGATGGTCAAATCTCCTTCACTTGATAACGCTGCCATGAATACATTTGATATGTTTTTCATCGCCGAGCACACGGGCGGGGTCACGCAATCACGCCATGACTCCCAAAATCTCATCCGCATCAGCCGGTGTGGACCACAGGGTCAGTTTAGCCTTTGGCATCACCTTGTAATCAATCGTTGTTGTTGTTGTTGTGTTTGCTCCTGCAGAGCTACAAGAGGAAAACAGAGGCTGCTAAGAAGGAGTACCTGAAAGCCCTGGCCGCCTACAGAGCCAGTCTGGTTTCCAAGGTAACCACGGGGGTCACATCTTTGATATACATGGGTCAGCGGCGATATAAGGGATGATAAATTAGACAGCGAATTCCTCTCACTCTTATTCCAAGGAAAGGGTCCACTTGCTGCACCGAGGGGTTAGTATGTTTGTGCATATCTCTGTGTGTGTGTGTGTGTGTGTGTGTGTGTGTGTGTGTGTGTGTGTGTGTGAGAGAGAGAGAGTGTGTGTGCTCAGAGGAGAACAGTGAAAATTAGGCCTCAAACACACCCAGTTTGCAACCTGGGGAGAAATGAAAAGTAACAGTACACGTCTGTGTGTGCACGCTCATCAGTGTGCGCATGTAAGAGTAGAAGTGGGCATTACCTATCATTTGCTGTCCTCCTGGTGTTTCTGTCCTCCCTGATGGGCCACTAATGTGTTGGCTGAGATTTGCTCACACCTACTGCTCTCTCTTTGCAGCAGGTTAGCCCAGAACATTAACACTTTTCTAATCCGGTTTGAAAAAAATAAAAAATAAAAAATCCACACATTGGAAAAGTTTTAAAAAAAATCTGATGTAATATGTTCCCTAAATTCTTTGTACATCTGCGAGGCTTATACAATAGTTATCACAGTACAGGGGTGTTTCAATCTGTGGGTGCGCTGCGTTTCATTTCAGTGTTTCTGCATTGTTTTGGAAAACACAACTCCAAATTGCATTAGCATATCCCAAGCTCCTCCTCTTCGCCCTCCCTCCGCTCCCGTCCTCCTTCCCACCACCCCACCCCCACCCCCCCACCCCCCGCACAGCGCCACACTTCCTCTCACGCTCATGGGCCGAAAACAAGCACCTTGATTAAGGCATGAATAGTTAATTCATCAGCCTCTTCACTGTGGCATACTTTCAACTAAAAAGACTATTCTCATCTCTTGTCTTTGGTGCAATTAGACATTCATGTCAGAGCTCCTATACAGAGGCTTGATTGATACTATATGTTGGTAGATTGCCAGTCAAAAAACTGACTAACAAAAATAAACCTGCAACCCTCCCCACCACCACCCCTCTCCCCTCCCCTTCACTCATTCAGGACCAGCCAATCTGAATGCAGGGCTGAATCTCATGATTCAACACGACTCTCTTTTTTAATTACCAATGAAGGAGTCTTTTCAAAGTGAATTGGGGCGGGTGGAATTGGAGGTAATTGGAGTATCATTTGAAGGATTCACATTTTCAGCGTGCACCTGTTGCCTTTTTGTTTGGTGACGCATGTTCGGTTTGTTTGGGAGGAGAAGAAAAAACAAAAGTTTGATTGCTTCCCACTGTATGCCGCGGCACTTCTCTTGTGTGCATTTGAATCCCAAAAACTCCCAAGTCGAGACTGTTATCAAAAAAATGTTCGATTTCATAAATGTTTCAATCCTCACAACCTCATTTGACACGCATCCCGATCATATATCTTCTCTGATGAATATAAAATCATTGTACCACGATGCATCGGCCTAAAACGTCCCCTTAAAATAAAATAAGGTGAAACAAATCACACCCATCCTCTCACTCGTCCCTTCTCCCTTCACACCATTTCTTCAGTATTTCATTTTCCACTTGACCCTGCAAATGTATCTGACCCTCTCTTTTATCCATCCCTCTATCCCGTTCCATTGATTATTTCACGGGTTCAGAGGGATGGATGTGAGCCATTACTAAATAGCAGACCACCACACATCACTCCGGCCCGTCTGACAGTTAATGAGAAATACTGGATGTATTTCATACATACGCCACCTCGTAAAAAAAAGGAGGGGAGACAGAGAGACCTGCAGAATGAATGTGTGTGTCGGGAGTCGCAGCATCACCAGGGGTTTGTGTGGAATAAATAAATAAAGAGAGGAGGAGCAGAGTGAGGTAGCGTTAGCCGTAACAGCTAAACATAAATACTTTGGGTAATAGTGCTCACTGTTACAATATCATTTACAAGCACATTTTCACATCATGTTAAAGTTTCTTGGAAGAGGAGTTGCATCACTTTTCAGATTATTTCATTAAGTTATTTAAATGCTGCTCCTCTTGTTTTGGTTTGTTTTTTGCTTCATTGGCACATTGCTTTGAAAACTTCCCACAGAGAGTTCTCTCTTTCTCTCTGGAGGATTACTCTAGTGACTATCAGCTCCATCAGCGATTGTGTGCACACTCATATCTAACTCAAACTATATTTTATGGAACTGGAACAGCGACGGGAAGTTTTGTAAAAAAAAATAAAATGTAGGCCTGAAAAATGAAATATTACAAAATAAAATACAGGCATTAAAATTATTTTATTTAGATATTTTTCGCATTCTGTCTTCCAACAACAATCTTCTGATCTTTTCTTCATGTCACTCTCAAAGGACCGTAAGTCCAGAAGTGATGTTCTCTCCTTAGTGAGCAGATTGTATTTAAATCATGCTGTCCTTGCCCCTCCCCTCTAACCTCTCATCTCCACGCCAAGACACTGACAAAAGGTTGAAACTGAAAAAAAGAGTAGAAAAAAAAATCAAATGTCACAAAAACATGAAGAAAAAATCTGAAGATAGTCACTGAAAAATACATAAGAATGCAAAATAAAATAAAATAAAATGAAATGAAATAAAATAAAATGGAATAAAAAAATAAAATAAAATAGAATAAAATTAAATTAAATTAAATTAAATTAAATTAAATTAAATTAAATTAAATAATTTTCAGTGTTTTATTTTTCAGCTGAACTTTTTTACTGCCCATGTTTCCTTTTTCAACGCCAAATTGTATTTTTGATGCCAGAATTTACTGCCACTGTTGTAGCCCCTTAATATTTGCATACTAAAATGTTCATACTATTATTATAACCAATTCTGACACAGGCTCACAATACTGACAGTGCTGTTTCAGGCTGGGAGCAGTGCAAAAATTCCAAAAAAGAAAAAAGAAATAACACTAATCTTACAGATCCGCATTTTAATAAGAACTCCTTCAAATTTAAGTATGTTAAATATTCAAGTCCTAACCATTACATAAACCCCTCAGCAAGGTGCACACTGTTAATATTTCACTGAATATGTGATTTATCCCTCCAGTTTATTACAGCTCGGCTCTTATAGTAGCTTTTGCAGCTTTGGCCGTCATTTCTGTTCCACAGAAAAACTTAAGATCTGGGAACATCAGTAAGGTCAGACAGGACACAAAATATGAGCGCTCAATCAGGCATGTTGTAAACAAGTCATATAGAATTTGGGGGGGAAGCAGGACGTAGGAGAGGACTTTTGTTTTGATGGAATGAAACACATATCCACCATAAAGTCATGCAGTAAAGGTACAAATTGGAGCATAAAAACTTCACCAGAATGCAGGAAATTAAGGGTTTGATGTTCAAAACTGTGTCCCCTGAATGTTGAAACAAAACCTACACCCTTAAAATGAGCCAACAGTTTAGCCACGTTATCTGAACCACTTTATTTGAAGGTAAACACACAATTTCATTGCACAAGCCATGTAACTAAAGCCAAAATCCACATTGTAATAAGCTGAGATCATCCTCTAAGGTCGCAGGTATTGTCACGAACGAGTGTAACCATTTTCCTTCTCCTCTGCCCCCTCCAGACATATAACGACCCCGTGGAGACAAAAAGTGCCCAAACAAGCCAGGCTTCTCCACATATGATGCCAGCCAACCCGCCCCTGTACAGCGTGCCACCTCCCCCCCAGCCGTCGTCGCCCTACCTGGGGCCCGGGGCCTTCCCACTCACCGACCTGCAGAGCTACGCAGGACACGCCCCTCGCCACACCCTGTCGCAGACGCTCAGCCAATCGCAGATGCTGCCCAGCATTAGTGCCTCTCCCCCTTCCTCCTTCCAGATCAGCCCACCCCTTCACCCCCACCAGCAGCTCTCCCTGCACCAGAGCTCGCTCCTCAACCAGCCTATCCGCATGCAGCAGGTCCAGTCCCAGCCAATCATCTCTCACCAGATGGGGCTGCAGGCCTCTCTTCACTCCCCACCTCCTGGACAGCAGGTACGGCAACAAACTGCACACACACACAAACACACACGCAGCTGTGAGATAGTTAATACCTAAAGATGTTGTGCTTAATTTTCACACTTCGTTCTCCAGGGTTTTTCCCACCTCCAGTCAGAGTATCAGAAGAGCATTGGGGGTTCCCAGTCTCCAGGAGCCCCTGGCCCCGGTCCAGGCCCTGGAGTGGCTCAGAGCCACGACTGGGACAGTGAATACTGCAATCGGGAGTGTGGCAACCACTGCAGGTCAGTGAAGACAGAGGAGACGGTTTTATTTGCTTCCCACAGTCTGTTTTCCACAATAACCTTTGTTACTGCGACTCATCAGGTCATACTGAGAAGTCCTGAGGGACATTTTGAACAGAGACAAATTGATTGAGTTCAGCTAAACAAACATTTTCTTTCACTGTTTGATGTATTTACTCAAATTCATTCTGAAAATGTAAACGCCAAGATTTTTAAATGAAGTTTTTCAGGTTGAATTCGTCAGAAAGACACAATCCAATCTGAGTCTCAGACCAGAGGTCCCTCACAAATATGCTTATATCGTCTCGTCAAACGTCTCTCCCACTACTTTCACAGTATGAGTGTTAAAATTTGTCAGCTCCGTTCCAGTGAGACAGCTGGAGAGGTAATGGTGAGATAATAGAGCTTGTCATGTGTTTGTCAGACAGCAGTAAAAAAAAGAAAAAAAAAACAGATGTTCCCTAACACAAGTTTTCACTGTTAGTGTACTAAACGCTTTGGCAGTCCTACAGCACTGGAAGATATTCTAGGTTTACAGCGGGGAGGGTGGACAGATCCTTTTGTTCATACTTTACGTTCATTTCATCTGTATTTGTGCACATTTTCTGAAAGCTTATGGTCAAAACGGAGCAGTACCACTTGAGATCATGGGGGCAGTGTAGTGTAGTTCAAACAAGATACAACTGTGAGAGATGACAAAGACATTTTAAGAATGGTGTAATACAGTGAAAAGAATTCTCTGTCCACATGTCGCGATGCATTTAATGGCCTCACAGACCTCCCCTAAAAGGTTCATTAGTACAACCTCCTCCACCGCCGCCTCATTTGTTGTTGTATGAAACTTTTGATTCTGCTCTCTAGTGCCATCTTTTGGCCGTACCTATGTCAGGCATGTCCAAAGTCTGGCCCGGGAGCCAATCGTGGCCCATGAGCTGATCTTAAATGGCCCACAGCTTGTCTCTCAAAATACATTAAATGTGCAACACGATATTGATTAATCAAGCAAAACCACACTGCATTTTATTCAGTTTACTTCACGACTTTGTAGACACGCACCAAGTAGGAACTACAAAGGTGGAACTGATGGGTTTTCATAAACAGGCAGTAAACCAAAGCTAGTGAACAGTTACCTAACAGCAGATATTTCCTGCCAGGCTGCAGACATAGCCAAAGCAAAGAAGAGTAAAGTTGACAGTAAGGGCCACCACTTCCTGGAGTGATGGAAAATCAAATACTTTTTTCACTGCAAAACTAAACAGTTGCCTTTGTCTCATTTGTATGTGATATATTTTTTAAATAACCAATATGACACGAGATACAGCTGCCCCTCAAGTATTTTTTTTACATTACCTTATCTGGCCCCGATTCAAGAAAGCGTGGACACCATTAACTTATGCTATCATAAAAGACGCATGGAAGTAAATGGGATATAAATGACCAGTTAATGTGTTTATTAGTGAGTTTTCATGTAAGAACTCGATAGGTATGGTGGAGAGGCGTTTATGTGGAGAGAATAAGAGCAGTGGTTCCCAACTGGTCCGGCCACGGGGTCCAGATTTCTCCTCAGTCAATAGTTCAAGGTCCACACAGTTTAATACATTCAGCATCATACTTGTATTTGGCCATGTCATCGAGCTGTCTCTGTTAGGTAGCTCTCCGGTAGTCACTCATTCGACAGCAGGAAACGGCACTTCAAAATAAAAGCTCTGTGCCGGAAATTCACTGTACTTAAAAATAAAATGTGTTTCCTACAAACTTGACACATTGGCGAGTCACTGACGGTCCATTCAGAGTGGACCCAAGACCCACTTTTGGACTGTGAAAGGCGAAATTAGCAATGTTGGCTAAGTTGTTTATGTGTGTTCATTTTTCAGGTCTTGTTTTTGTTTGTAATACAAGCTAATAATTTGTTGGGGTGGGGGGGGCTTGCCTAGGGTGCAGAATGTGCTAGGTGCGGCACTGCTCATCGTGCCCAACTACTATAAAATGTTTAAGTTACAGGGTTTTGGTTGAGGCGAGGTAGAAGCTGAGAGAATGGGCGTTTCAGCTTAAACTGTGACCATCAGGGAATGAAGAGTATTCACAATCGGAGGAGAACATACCTCCTATTTTTCTGTCCTTTCCTGTATGACTCTGTGTTTTCTTTACGGCTGTTTCTTTGTTTGTAATCTAACCTGTGCCTCTGTTTTTTGGTTTCTTCCTCTCTCCAGTGGCAGCATGATTGGCAGGGACAAGCCACTCTACCTCACCTGAAACTGAAGATCATGCTCTGTCGACAAATACGACACCGAGGAGTCTACTCTCACCCCCCCCACCCCACCCCCACCCCCACCCCGACCACCACCCCCACATCCCCTCAACCCTCTTCTGATGCACACACACAGTTACACACAGTTCACACTTAACATACAGAAGCATACATGCAAACACACACACACACACACACACACACACTCCGCCTCCCGAGTCACCACCGCCACCTTTTTTTGTCAATGTAATTATTATTTCTCTCAGTTTCTAGAAGAATTTGTGACCAGAGTTTTTTGACTAGATGACTGCTGTCTGTACCACTTAATGTATTAGCAGTCCTCTCGCTGTTTAAAATTTGCCAAGCACTTATTAAGGGCCCCCTCCTCTTCCTCCCCCTCCCCTCCCGTGCCCACCCTCCTCTCTGAGCAGTGCGTCTACGCCCTCACCGATACAAGCCGGGCTGTAGAGCACTCCTCTTCTGTGTCACCATCAAAGTCCCCTCAGGGACCCCATCCAGCTTTAATTAGAATGAGAAGAAAAAAAATACTCTTCCTCTTCTTTAATCATTTTAATTTCCTTTTGTGTTTTTTTTCCCTTTTCTTTTTTGTTGTCGTTGCTGTTTTATTTATTTCTGGCTTGCAAAATTGTTCCTCTATTTTTTTTTTCTTTTTTTCTTGCCAATAAGCATTGGGCCCTGTACTGTAGAAAAATATTAACTTCTAGTAGGTTCAGCGCAGGCTTTGATGTTATGGTAGCTTTGCTTAAGGGCCTGCAAATTGATACAAAAAGCTTGGGTGGGGGAAAGAAACAAAACAAAAAGGAATCTTTTTTTAATATTAAAGACCTGTTGAGGTCTACTGAGCTGTCACAGTGTGATTGTAAATATCACTTTTATGGGATCAAATTGGGAATTGGAAGTCCAGATAGATTTGTTTCTTCTTTAATATTACATGTAAGTCATTTTGTGTGCGTGAGTGTGTGTGTGTGTGTGCGTCTGGACGTTAGAATGTACCCCATTCATGGCGTGTGAAGTCGAGTGTGTATGTGTGTATGTGCACGGACACACACTTGCGTGCGAGAGTGTCTCAGTGTTCGAGTGTCGAGTCTTTCTCGTGAATTTTAACAGCCTTGTGCAGCTGGATTTCAGAGGAGTATTTCACACTCTCGTTCTTGCATTAAATCTGTGCTCACTGGTGTGTTTTTTTCCAATAAAGTTCAATCTAAAACTGAATACACAATATGTGTCCTGCAGATCATTAAATGGAAAGAGCCAGGTGAGAGATAGAAAGGAAAGAGATGGAAGGAGAGAAAGAAACGCTGTGAGATAAAATGAGATATAATGTTGCAGGTGGAAAGGAAAAAAAAAAGAAAAGATATTGCCTCAAAATGCACCCCACCCCCCCCTTCCCCCACCCCCACCTCCCTTTTCTTATTTCGTCTGACCATAATGTCAATTTTGTCTCCTCGACATGCAGAAGTGAAGTAATGAAATATGTGAATGGAGCCATCACATCCACATTACGGTGATTTTTATAAGTTTCTACTTGGTGTTTGGTTGTGTTGATCTCATCTTTTTAACTTTTTGTGTGATTAACAGAAATGCATTTTGCTGACAAAGACATCTGTATTTATCTCTTTACTGTAGCATAATTTCAGTTTTAGTTGTTACAGAACTATAACATTTTAAGTTGTGTAAAAAAAGAAAAAAAAAACCCTGCCAACTGTAGTTATTTTATTTGTAAAGCCAGTAATGATAAATATTTTAAATGGTTCTCAATATATTGTTTTTCGCTCTAGTTGCCCATCAGCCATTTGACAGGTTTTCTTATTTATGAAAGAAACTAGATCACTTTTTGCTTCTTACAATGGAGGTGTATTTTTATTTTATTGTTTCCTTTGGTTTGATAAAAATGATGATGACCACAACAATGACTTTTGTTTATTTTTTACATTTTTTGGGTGCTGCTCCTTTTTTTTCCCCCTTGCCGGCAGCATCTCTTTGTGTCACAATGCTTCTTTTATTTCAAACCTGCATAATAAAAAAAGTTTAAAAGTGAACGAGCCTGATGTCTTTTAATTTCCCTGCAGACTTTTCTGTGCCCCTCTCTAATAAGACGATCACACCTTCTTTTTATAAAAGCCACGATAATCGTTGTTTTAAAGATCCACCAACACCCCCGACTTTACTGTACTTTACAGTGTGTTTGCGCTCAAGAGGGTCACATTTGTATCCTATATTTAAATTTAGCTCAGGGCTCCGATGGCATTAGCTAATTAGCCGTGGATACAGAGTACACCAGCCAGCGTGGATATTGCCAGTAAACTATCTTAACAAACAAGAGAGCAGATGCGAGAAGACGTTTGCTTTGCTTGTGAAAGTGGTGCATCGTAGGCGTCTAGTGTGAGATAAAGAGAACAGAGAAATGCAATGTGCACACAAACTCAGGCAACCATCCAAGTACTGATTTTACCCCAATTGCACACAAGTCTTCTCAGAGACTTTCTAAGAGAGAGAAGGAGAGATTGAAATGGAACTGTCACGATCCCTCCATTCAATGTTTTATTCATTTTACGTCTGCCTGCCGTCTCTTCCTCAATAGTATTGAATTGGCAAATAGATCATTATTGGACAATTGGAGAACCTGCCACTTTGTGATATGACACACATTATATGAAAATCACAGTCATACATTCTTAATGCAACGCGAGATAAAAGAGGTTCTGGGTGCAGCCACACAGCCCCCCGTCTGCGCCTTTTGTGTACATCATGTGTTTGTATGAATATCTGCTCGTGTTTTTTATTCCTTCCTCTCTGTGTTTGGGTGCAGCCTCTCCTCACTAGCTGTGCGTACATGGTAACAATATCTTATTTCCTTTATTCTCGCAGCCATGCACAGATGTGCAGGCAGTCATTGTGTGTAGTAATACTGTAGTAAATACTGCAGGAAGACAGTATCACTTTGACACTCCCCTGTCAGCGCCCTTAATCCCATCCCTCGTCTCAGAGTCAAAGTCATGAGGCCGGCGGAGAATGAAAAGCTACAATTTATGGTGGAGGATGCCATTGAGGAGAGGTGAATGCAGCCGTCTTGTTGGTTTCCATACAATTTAAAAGACCAAGGTGGCGACAAAATGGATGGCATCAGTGACAGCAGGCTGGATGACAACAATGAGGTCGGCAAATGTCATGCAGAAAGGCCTTGCTGTTTATACTGAAGCAGAAATGTAATGATTTAAATGAAAATTATTTTGTGAATGATTGTAATGTGTTTCATGTTGATACGGGAGCCCTGAGAGGCAAACTGAAAGAACGTAAGAATGTAAATACTCTGGTTGTCGTCGGCAACAGTGGCCAAGTAAAAACTAAACAAAAATTTTCTCTCATTTCGTTGGTTTGTAAACAACAACAACAACAACAGTAACTCAGAGTGAGATTCAGATTCTGTACACAATAGTAATAGTTCAACAAAATAAAATCTACCACAAATTACACATCTAAACAGTTCCCAGGACGCCCAGGCCTAACGTCGCCACAGTTTACTCCACACTACTGAAGCCGCTCCTCTGTTTGGAACCACAGCGGAGTCAGTAATAATTTCGCTTTCAGCCATGCTTGTTGTTTCCACGCGCAACACTTTGATATCAACATGTCAACAAGTCGAAATATCACCTAGCTTTGTGTGATGTATTTGGCCTTCTGCAAATTTGAGCTACTGTTTGAGGGCAATGATGACTGTGTAAACCTGGTCTGCTGACTGGTATTTGAAACTCATGCGGTCGGCTAATCACACTTTTGTGATGTTTCAGTAACATGCAACAAAACAAATCAATCTTTCTCTCCTTTGCTTGCTCACTTGCTGGTGCGTGCGTGGGAACCAAGATGTTGTGGGCGGCCGTTTCTTGTACATATGAAATAGAATCCTGTCAGGGTGTCGCTGCACTGTTCCGTTAGAGTGGACTTTTGTTGTTTAAGTGAGAAAGTAAAACCTTTTTTTTAACGCTGCATTTGGCTGAAATGTCATTGCCCTTTGTATCGTGCACCAAGCGCTTCATTCTGCACATTTGTCTCTTTCTCAGATTAGCCTAATGTAGCCTATTTTTGCCCTATGTAGGAACTATCTCCTATAAGAGATATTACAATAAGTAAATAAAAGTTCACCTTGCCCTTCAAGGCTTCCGTATATATTTGACATTAACCCTTTGAAACCTGGGGCAACATCACTTTTCTTGCGCTGCTTTCAGACGCCTTTCAAAACCTTTAAACCCTGAGCAAACTGATATGATTTCTCTCAAAAACATGGGGAAAAAAGGCACCGAGCAACTTGGTGAGAAATGTCCCACAAACTGCAAAAAATAATAAAATAAAAATTAAAAAAAAAAACTAGATATAAAAAGTTAATTAAAAAAAGTTACAATTTAAAATTATGTTACAGAATTATTATAATTTCAAGCACTCTTTTCAGGTCATTTCCTTTTTTTGTTTGTTTTAAACATTCTTTCTTGTCTTTTTTTTAAACTAATTTTCTTGTTTTTAATTTTCTCTTTTTACTAATTTCTTCCTGATTTTGGGGGTAATTTCTTCTCTCGTTGCTAACTGCCTTCTTCCCGTGTTTTTAAGACAATTTGCTCAGGTTTCAAAGGGTTAATTCAGGTTAGTTTATTAGTCCAGCTTGTATAATTCAAACTTCCTTTAAGTGAAATTTACAAAATGAATCCTGGAACTATTTTGTTTCCTTTTAGACTAAATGATGAGTGAAAACACAAATTATTCTAATCTATCCTAATCTGTCTATGAGGATCTTTCACTCAGCCAAATTATTTTGTCGAGCTAACTAATGATGCAAGTGTCCACTGTCCTAAAAATGAAACGTACAATGTTCGACTCTTTAAAACAAAACAAGTTCTGCTAAATATTTTTAAGTGCTGGAAACTGTGCACATCTGCCAGACCATTATTTATTTAGTTATTTATTTATGTATGCTGCTGATTATTAAAAATACGACCATGCATGTACAACAGGTTCAGCGTGTTTGTCGATGATGAATATGAGGTCAACCTCAGCGTGTGTGCGAGTGTGTGTGTCTGTGGAGTCGCTCAGCCCAACCGTTGAAAATTTCCATCACCAACAACAGTGAGATCCACCCTGTCAGAAGCCTTTCATTTTCTTAAAAATACTCTATATTTGCTCGGTGTTGTGGTGCAGCGATGTACCCTCACTCCTCATGTGAGCGTGAATATAAATATGGTTAAATGTGACCACATGAGACAAGGAGTGAGCAGGAGCTTATCTGTTCTTTGAGTTTAAAGTGATGCAGGCCAGAAGGTCAGTGCAATGGTGAACTGAAGGCTCGCAACACGCACAGAGCACCAAACACGCGGAGCCTCTCAGAGACCAGCCACTGTAGCACACAGGCAAAACGTTTCAGTTGCAAGTTTGGTGCTGCGGTGGAGCAACAAACAGCAGGAAATGTGGGTGGTTTTAACAAGAAATGGGTTTCGCTTTGTGTTCACAATCAGTTAAGGTTTTTTTTTTATGCTGACTGTACGGCACAGTAGAATTAGTACATCAAAAAAACACAATATTGTCAGCAGATTAAATATCTTAATACAGAATTCATCCTGCAGTACTTTTAATTCAGCATATTTGGCAGTTTAGCAAGATTAATCTAATCAGAGTGACGTGTTTTGTCAAAGACCTCCTTCAGGAACAAAGTGGGTTATCTTAATTTGACACAACAGTTGCAGCTCACTCACATACACACAAACTCTGAAGCAAACAGAGACTTAACACATAAGACACACCACGTGAGGCACAAAGCACACTTGTGGTTTCACACCTGTAGATATTTACGTAATCCGGCGTATGTTATGTCAGCGCTGACAACCATCAGGTGCTGCCTGCGGTGGCCAAATTCAGTCCATTTCCTGTTTTTCAGATATCGCAAATAATCAAATGCTTAAAGTGGTTTCATCGTCTTTTAAAGAACCAGCGCTGCAGTTGTCTTGTGCATATAAAATTTACCTCAGACTCATTGTGAAACGTCAGGTGATGAAGAACTTCTCTCTATGACTGGGTTAAACCAAATTTGAATGTCTCAATATCAATTTGGCTCCTTGGCCTCACCCTGCAGGATCATTAGAAGACGGTATTATCAAAGACATCTCGAAATAACATGACCCCTTTTATGACTGATGCTCAAAATCAGAAGCTGGCAAGTGGTGCAGACACAGTGCAGCTCTCTTAGTTTTAGTTTTGGTGGAGTGGTCTTGAGGTTCAAGAGTTCAGACCCCTTTGCCAGCAATTATTTTTCTGTTTTTAATCTTTCTTGTGAGTGTGTTTTGTTTGTGCTTCCCACTGGATTGGCCCTCTGCTTTATATTATGTCTGCACAGAGCAAATACAAACAATATCAGGTTTTATATTTTCTAATGTTGCTTCAGTGAATGGTTGATCATTCATAAAATGGCTATACATTTTTATATTTAACAAGTATCATGGTCTTCTCCTAAGTAGTATATATATTAGTGACCAAACCCCAAAGCAACTGTAGTCATATTACTATGTTAAAAAAAGATCACATACTTCATAGCGTCTTTCAGCTGCTGCTTTGAATCAGTCTCACCGCTCCTTGCTTTAAGCAGGTAGATGATTTCAAAGCAGTCTCTAAAAACCGACTGTTTGCTGCCTGTCCACACCAAACAGCGTAGGAGCAAAGGTAGCAACAAGCCTATGGACACACTGTAGCATTTTAGCTGGCTGAGACCAAAAACAGAGCTAAAAGAAGAGTGACTATTGTTTAAGAAACATGACTTCAGCTAATGCTAATGTTGCTCTGTATCTGCTGGGTGCGTAAATAGGTCACTGTTTTGTATAGCCCCGTTTCCACCAAACACTTTTGGTGTGATACTTTTGAGTAACCCTTCAGACATGGTACCTAAACCCCAGGTTCGCTTAGTGCTCCACCACAAACAGTACTCTTGAATGTGGGCGGGGTTGTTGTCACTCACTGCTCCGTCCAGCACTTCCTCCTTTATCAGTCTGCACCTTGTTTATCGTCC